CTCACCTGCGCCAGGCCGGAGGCTCCCGGGTCTCCAATGTGGTTGTGAGCCAGAGAGAGGCACAGCAGCGTGCGGTTCAGACGCAGGCCCTGAGAGGGGCAGAGAGAATCAGCACAAACCTTTCCCAGAAGCACAGCGTGTGCAGGTAAGTCAACCACGTATGGGTCTGCCATTACTATTGTACAGGTGTGCCATTACCTGTGTACAGGCGAGCTGTTACCTGTGTAAAATATCTGTGTAAGGGCGTGCTGTTATCCTTGTACAGGTGAGCTGTCTCCTGTGTAAGATACCTGTGTATGGGTTGTTGTTGTTCTTGTACAGGCGAGCTGTTACCTGTGTAAGATACCTGTGTAAGGGTTGCTGTTATTATTGTACTGGTGTGCTGTTACCTGTATATGGGCTTGCCCTTACTTATACAGTATTTATGTAAGTTATTTGTGCAGGTGTGCACTTCTATAGACAGTTGTACCACCTGGGCGATGTGCTGTGCTCCAGTGTCTCCAATGCGGTTGAAAGCCAGGTTGAGGGACAGCAGGCTCTTATTGGCCGAGCGGGGTGTGGACAGGGCTTGGCCAACCAGACGAGCCCCTTCTTCGTCTATCTGATTATTGCGCAGAGACAGGTGAGCCAGCCTGGGGAGGAGACAGAGGACATGATCTGCTGAGGAGGGCTGCAGGGGCCTGTAACTGTTTGGAGGAGGATATGGGACTCTGTTTGACCGAGGAAGGATGCAGGGTGCAGGAGATGGTGGCTGGCAGGGGAACAGGGTGGGAATGAGGTGACAATGGTGGGTGAGGGAGGGACTTGTGGAGGCAGGGGGCTGTGATAGGCTGGGGAGGGAAGAGGAAGGCTGGGATTGGCTCAGGAATAAGGTGGAGGATTTGATTGGCTGGGAAATGAGGCAGGAGAAGGTGAAAGGTCAGGGATGATACCCACATGCTGTCCTCTGCAATCAGGATGTGGTAGCACTGCTCAGGAATGGGAGTCCCCTCTAAAAGCACTGTCCTGAGAGAGACATATAGAGACAGGCAAGCTTGAGAATTAAGTTTAATTTGGGTCTAGTGTGAGTGTTTGGCTTGACTGTAATTTGAGACTCACCTAAGGCTGAGGCAGAGAGACAGCGTGTTGCGCAGGGAGGTCAAAGTTCGCTGGGTGAGCCCCACTCTCCACAGACTGTAACACAGAATCCCGACAGCACAGTCACATTCTCTCTCACCTCCTGTCCTCTCCCTGCCTCTTCCTCACACCTGCCCTCTCGCCAGCTCCCCTCATCCTCATCTCTGCAGCCCCCCTATCTCTCCCCGTCTCCCTCTCCCCCTCTTCCTTTCTCCCTCTCCTCCCTCCTCTCTCTCTTAGCTCCCCCTACCCTGTCTCTCTCTATTTCCTCCTCTCCCCCCGTCTCTCTCCCCCTCTCCCTCTCCCTGTCTCTCTCTCTTAGCTCCCCCTACCCTGTCTCTCTCTCTCCTCCCCCTGTCTCTCTGTCTCCTCCTCTCCCCCCTGTCTCTCTCTCGACACTCACTGTAAGCTCTGCAGGTTGCTCAGGTTGGGGAGACTCCTGCTGAAGACTCTGGCCATCTGCTCGCCCACCTTCCACCCTGAGCAGCAGCGAGAAGAGGGAGAGCTTACAGAGTGCGGCAGTGAGCGAGCGTGAGCACACACGCCTCCCCAGCCACGAGCAGGGCCGACTCACCCCTGACCCTGACCTCTCGGACGCTCCGGGGGTCATCGCCCTCCAGCTCCACCTGCAGGCGGGGCTTCAAGCAGGAAAAGCGCTCGGCTGGAGGCGGGCCTCCTCCATCCAGCTGTGATTGGCTGTTATCTACAACACAGGGCAACATGAGGGCAGGAGAGAACAGAACCATCTTCCTCTATCTACACAGTGACTCTCCAGCTCTGATGATGATGAAGGAGTGTTCATGTGAAGATGCAGAGGAGCTGGACTGAGTGTCTTTACAGTTACTCTACAGCTCTGATGATGATGAAGGATTGTGAATGTGAAGATACAGAGGAGCTGGACTGAGTGTCT